CTGGTGATGGGGCGAAATCTGAAATGGGGGGCACTTGAGGGACAGACATTGAAGTTTTGGAGTCCTCTTGACTGCTGGATCCATCTTGGATCAAACCTCCTGAAATATGGGCCTGATTTGAAATTAATCTGTTTTAGCCCATCATGCTACCTAAGAACCTTCCCTGTATTCTCCCAAATTTGTTAAGGTCCAGAGAGGAGGAACTTCCGGGATGCAGCAGTGTGCCAGTCTTGTGGGAATTGTGGGAACAGTTGATGCCAAAGTTTCCAGCATCCTTGTATGTTGCAGTGTGGGACAGTGTCCAGAGGTGCCGGGAACTACATTTCCCAAGATTCCTTTGGCTCCAAGGAGCATAGGTGGCAGTGTGGTGTAGTGGTTAAGAGTGGCGGACTCTGATCTGGAGAACTGGGTTTGGTTCCCCTCTCCTCCATATGAAACCTGCTTGGGTGACTTTGGGCCAGTCACAGTTCTCTCAGAACTCTCTCAGCCTCATCTACCTCCAGGGCCGGCCTGTCATTGACAAAATTTAGGCAGCTGCCTATGGGTGCTGGCTTGACGAGGGCACCACTCTAGTCTGCCTGCCTCGCGAGAGCTAGGCACGAACATCAGGCTACTGTTGCTACGGTGCAGCGGCGGATCTTCTGGCGAGGGAGGCGGCTTTCGCCACTGGTGGGGACGCCATTTCAGGCCTCCGGGGACACAGGGAGGGGAGGCGCGCATGTGGGGACGTCCCAATGGGGTGGAGGAAAGGGACCCAGCGGTCTGCTGGGCCATGTGTCGCACATGACTGCCTCCCCTCCCGGCAGCTGCCCCGGGTGGGCAGAGCTTTCTCTGGCTGCACTCCTGCTCTGGAGCTGACGTGCAAGCAGCCCCGTCCCGTGGTTCCAGCCACGAGGGACTGCAGCAGGAGCGCCCCCTCACCCCCGCCCCCTGCCTTTGTTGTACCCATGAAACCAGACTGCTGGCGCTCGTGGAGGGGGTAGGGGGGTGCCAGAAAATTGGTGGACGCACCAGAACGGGGGGGGCGCCTAGTGTGCAAAAAAACCTGGGGCCGGCCCTGCCTACCTCACAAGGTGACTGTTGTGAGGAAAGGAAGGGAAGGCCAATTGAAAGCCGCTTTGAGATTCCTTACGGTAGAGAAAAGCGTGTTATAACAACCTGCTGCATAAGTTCTAGGAAGTCGTTCCCACCATCCCTCACTGATAGTAGTGTTTGGGGTAAGGCCCAGTGGCCTGTTGTGTTCCAGAATCCAAATTATCTTTGAGATGTCCAGCAGGCATTTCCCACCAAAAAAACAAAGCGGCACTGAGTGAGCAGTCTTGGAAACAGTTGCTTAAAACAAGGTCATACGTCAAGATGAAAATCAAAAGAAATAATCTCATCTGGTGAAAGAATTGCTTCCGATGGAAGAAGGCTCTCACCCACAAAAAAATTCTCCCTCAATAAATCTGTTTTTATCTATAAGGTGCCAAATGCCACTCTGGTTCTCCTTGCAGTAGATTAAACACAATTCCTCTGCAGGAAAAAAAAATAAATCCTTGGTCGTCAGTTTTCATTTTTACCTTTGAGGGGGATGACACTACATCTCCCCCCCTTTTCTCCCTGTAAGAACTATTTGTCTGTGATACGACTCCATGAAAAGCCCCCTCCTTTTCTCTCTTCCTGCAAAACTGTACTGCCTCCTGTTTGAAGGTGGCTGTCAGTGAAATATGCTTGATATCCTGGAATGCCTGGGTGAAGCTGAGGCGTGTGTCAGAAAGAAGCAGCTAAGGCGGAGACGTGGCATTTGCAAGGGGAAAGTGAGTGACACTTGTCATGTAACAGCGGTCCATTTGCAAATGACACTTTTGATTACATCGGATAAATAATAGACGTGATGGGTGTCGGTGTAAAAAGAATGACATCTATTCACTTCAGCTTTTCAGAGAGGGTTACCTTTTTGGGGTTTTGTCAGCGCTTATATAACCCACAGCATACGGCAAAGTTTCTGTGGTCTCAGATACCTAACTCAGAGGCTCCTTGGAGCGTCTTGTCTGTGGAAAGATAGTAAACACTTGAAACACCACATGCATAGATTTCCACTGTTAGAACAGGAATGTGAGACTATATTATTATTGTGTCACCCACAAGCTGAATTCCCTTCTCCTGAAAATAGTTATCTTTTTCTGATGAAACTGCCTTAGAGTGAGTCAGACCTTTGGTCTGTCTAGCTCAATACTCTCATGGGCTCTCCTAGCGCCTCAGGCAAGGAAAAGTCTATCATGCTACCCGCAGTCCTTTAACTGAAGATGCCAGGGACTGAACCTGGGATATTTTACACCAAGGGGTCCCCAGTCTTTTTGAGTGGGCTCCTTCAGAATTCTGATACAGAGTGGTGGCCACAATCACAAAATGGCGGCGACAGGAAGTGGCGCCAACCGCAGGATGTCAGGGAGTGCGGTTATGTATAACTCTAATAGTGCCTCTTCAGAACTTCAGCCAGAAGCTCTGTTTAACAGGAGGCCTTTTAATTTACATGCTGAAGCCCCACTGGGCAAAAGTCTCAGTTGTTAGGTCAGACACATCTATGTGCCCTTGTTCCCTTCTCAGATTGTGTGTATGGTAGATTAAGCCAGAGTTGTATCTTTGGCCTTTAGGAAACAAGATTTGTTTTCCTCAGTGGGGAACTAAGACTCTGGGTTGTTTTCAGGCCCATGGTAGAAAAAGTAAATGGTCTCCTATTTGGCTATGCAGTATGTTTGTAGATGTTCAGTATTATAGTAATCAAGGCGCGTTCTGAATATGCACGATCTTTAGATCCCCCTGTCAAGAAACTGAGTTCCTAGTTCAGTTTCTTGTTTTCTCTTAAACATTGGTTCAGGCTTCATTTTCAATTTTAGGCCTGCATTTGATTTGAAAGGTTCAGATGGAGAATAACTGTGCTGGTTGCTTGAAGGTTCAGCAAGTGGACCTTGTGACACCCAGATAACATTCCCAGGTACAAAGGGAATTAGTGATTATCACTGACTCCTTTCTTGTTTCCAAGGCCAAAGTATGGTGCCTTGGTAACCATAATTAACTGCATTCCCGTTTAATTAGTGCTTATGATTTACACCTGTTAGAAATGGGAGGGTTGTACTGCAGATTACCATTTCACTGGATTCTGATCCCCTTCTAGGGCATATGCCTAGTAACAGGCTCACATCATTAATAGACATCATAAGCCAGAGAGCTGATTGGTCTGTTGGGCCCCAGACCATGTTGGATCCTTGGCCATAAAAGTTTAGTCTTTTCAACCTGTTGTGGTTTTTTTCCACTGGTTTTTTGGGTGGGAAGCTGTAGCTCCCTAAAAATCATCTGGAATGTTTGCTTGTTATGGGCCAGGCACCCTTCCTGTCCGACACCAACTTGGGAGAGAGTGGACTTGGATTGCTGAACGTCTTCAGCTTGGAATGGTAACATCTGGCAATTTTGAAGCAATGTCTTACTGTGTAGCCTTTTGAATTTTGCTTTATTTTTTGAGCAATTTAATACTTTTTTTTTTGGACTACATCTTGTGGTGTTCTGCTCTTCAGGTGGCTTCAGTCTAATCCCCAGTACCTAGACCTTAGTGCACACCTACCAGGTTAATTGTTTTGGAGAAACTCGCTCTGCAGGTGGCCTGTTGTCAGCAAGCTGACAATGTTTTTTTTCTCCTTCATGTATGTGCTTGGTTGCTTTCGCTTTCATATGTAGACCTGTTGATGCGCTTAATTGCTTAGCTGCTGGAACGTCTATATCTCTCAAGGCCACAGGTGGTTGCTGCTGCTGGATAGTTGCTTGGGTAATCTCACGAAAAACCGTGGGAAGGAGATAGCTTGTGCTGCCTAGAAGCGTTTGTTCCCAGGCCCGATGGCGCGCGGGGGAACTCCCGCAATTGGGCCTCAGTTGTTTGAATGTACTATAACATGCCATGCTCATTGCTCCCCCCCTCATTCCTAACAGTGTTCCTGTCCATGCATCTATAGCTTCAAATAAAGCAAAACCTTCCTGCAAGTGTGTACTTCATTGTTGCTGTGGGTCCTGACACCTGTACTGCAGGGCTGACTTCCTTGTTTAATCCCAGGACCGTTAGAAGCTTGCCCCTTGGCTTCTGGCTGCTGGGTAGTCAAAAGGGGCTGGTGGCAGCTACCAGACTGTTGTGTTTGTGGATTCACACCCCAGAGTTTTGTAATTTTGTGCCCTGCATTTTGTGACCTGCTTGCCTTTACCAAAATTCCCTTGGACTAGGCTTTTTTGACACACACCCCTTTATTGATTTCCTTGTTCCTTCCAGAGAGCCGAGTGATATGAACAACAGGGAGGTACAGAACTAGATCATACATACATACCACTTTGCCCTGGGGCTGGAGGGGGTCACATCTTTGTATGCTGTTTCATAGTTAAAACCTTCCCCCTATCCTTATATATATATAGGGAAAAAATGTATCAGAGAGAAGGCTAGAACTTTATTCCTTGCTGTGACGACTTTTTTTTGGCATGAGGAGAGTTTGTTTGTATTAAAATGGGAAATGTTCATATATGTGAATCTCCCAGTTGCCGCCGACTCAGCCACGTCTAGCAACTATTTGTAGCCTGTGGTTCTACTGAATGTGATTCTCATCTGGAGTACAAAATGTCACTTCATCTATAGTCCTGATGTTTTTTGGGTTTGTTTTTTTTGGGGGGGGGAGCCCTGATTATTTATACACCAGAACAGAGACTATAGCCGTATGTCTTTGTTTCTGCTTTTTTATTGTTCCTTTCCTCAAAAGAGGGCGGCAAAGACAGACTGTATGGCTCTTATTCCTTTTTATCCTCACAACATCTCTGTCGGGCTGAGAAATACGGAGCAGGCCAGGCCATCCCAGGGGACTCCATGGCCAAGCAGAGATTTGAACCTGCATCTTGGCCCTCATCCAACTTTTCATAACTTAGAACTGCAAATGGAACGAGAAGACATTTAGACTGATATTAAAAACACAATCTCTTACCTTTTACAGGCTTAATCCGCCTCCGCTCAAGCCCACCCCCTAAGCTTCAAGGGCCAGAGTACGTACTTAATGTTACAGCTACCGATGACAACATCTCTGGGGGACCGCGCTCCCTTTCTAGCACCGCTTTGGTTATTGTGCACGTTGATGATGTCAACAATAACAAGCCAGTGTTTCAGAAGGTAACTGTGCTGTCCTGAACTGTGTTAAAGGTCTGGAGGGCATCACTTGAATTGCTAGTGTGTTTTCACATGCGTTGAGAATTTATAACTGCACTTACCTTGCCAGGATATATACATGCAGCAAAAATTGAGGAGTTGTGCATCCAGTGTGGCCAAATTAAATTCATATTTCTTCTCGCATGTTCTTGTGACAGACATTCAGTATCACTACGGCAGCCTTGAAAACATAGGTTTTATTTACTGCTGCCTTCATGTGATTGGCTGGACTACTCTAGAAGAGTTTCTAATCAACCACAACCGATCCCATTAATTTTTGGTGTACCCAAGCCAACTTGAGTTGACACCTGTGCGTGATGAACCAGCAGCATGATTACTTCAACACATCTTGAGATTCTAACAAAGCGACAAAAACGATCGAGCCCGAGTAACTGTTGCAATTATGTACAGTGCCCCTCCTTAATTATTCCCCTGCCCAGTCCATTCAGAGTTCTGAAAGGAAAGGTGAAATCGTTCTCCAGGCTAAATTGGTGTGATCTCACTTATTAGTTGACTTTGATTGACTTGTTGGAGTCATCCCTAGCATAGTGTAGTTTCAAGGTGTTTTGGATAAGCAGGAACTTAAGCGGTCCGTGGCCTTTAGTGAATAATCATTTTTTTGCTGTGGTGCCAGCAGTGATAAGATACTAGATCAGACTTGAAGCTGCCTTCTGCAGAGTCAAGCCATTGGCTTGTCAAGGTTAATACTGTCAGTACTGTCTACTGTGACTGGCAACAGCTCTCCAGGGCCTCAGGCAGTGGTCTTTCACATCAGCTGCTACCCAGGCTCCCTCTAAGCTGTGGAGTCTTGCGAGCAAAAATCCTACTTTGAGCTACCGGCATTAAAGTTGTGAGCGAGCGATTGGCTAGTGCATACATTAGTTTGCTCTGGAGCCGTCCTTCCTGAGCCAAGACAAAAATGTGTGAGCCGTAGGCTAAAAAACTGTGAGCCAGCTCACACTAGCTCAGGGAACACTGGCTGCTACTTGATCCTTTTAGCTAGAGGTGCCTGGGATCCACGTGCAAATCTGGAACTCCACACAGCCCCTGCTCTGCCAGCTTTCCTGCTGCTGACTCATATGGCTAGATTTGTGGGATACGGACATTCCACCTTCATTTCATATGTCTGATAGTTTGGTAGAGTCATTAAAACGTCCTTCAAAGACTGAAAAGAAACCAAGAGAGATCTGTCGCTGCCACTCGGCAGAGATGGTGGAGAGTAACCCTCTCCTTTTATCTCATTTTGGGGGCATTTTTAAAAAATTCGCTGTTGGGTTAAGCCCTCGGTTCCCGAGAATTGCATCCCATGTCAGATCGTATCTAAGTGTATTTTATGTCCTTTTGCCAGTGTCAGCATTACCGAGAACATGCTTCTGTGTTAGAGAACCAGCCTGTGGGAACGTCTGTGTTACAAGTAGAGGCGACAGACGCAGATGAAGGCCCCAACGGCAGGGTGAAATACGGCTTGATGCACAGAGATGGTGCCCTTCCTTCATTTAACATTCACCCCGACACAGGCAAGGCCAACTTTTTGGATTGCAGCTTTACTGGCACGGGTGTAAATGAAAGAGGCAGGGTGGGGATGTTAGCCCCTAAACACTACCCAGCTGAGTCTTGCTTAGGCTGTATTTGCGGTGGCACTTCATTGATCACTTGTATGGTGCTTCTGAGTTTGTGCTTCAGGCCCTTATTTTATTATAACCCTTATAAAAGTCATGTAAATGTACTTATTTAGAAAAAATTTCTTGCCGACTCTCCAGGAAACCTGCCTGAGATTGCTTACAAGATAAAAACGAAACATGAAAAGTTGCTTATTATATACCGGTACTAATATAAAATATAGACAATAAAAACATAGTCCACTGAGCAGCTTAAAAGAACAGTTTCAAGACTAAAAACAAACCAGAATGGTGTTAAAAGACCTGCCCCTTAATTAAATGGCTTGGTGAACAGAAACATTCTGTCTTGGTGACTGAAAGGGATCAGTGTAGGTGCCGGGGGAGCCTCAAGGAGAAGGGGATTCCACAAGTGAGGTGCCACTACTGGAAAAGCCCTGTCTGTGGTTACCACCTGCCTCACCTCTGAAGGCAGGGGCATAGAGAGTAGAGTTAGATCTCAACTGGCAGGCTGGACAATATGGGAGGAAGTGTAACAGCAGGCACTGAGGCAGAGAGGGAGTGGCTTATCTAAGGCCACCCAAATGGGTTTGCAGCAAAAGTCAAACTGGGGAAGTTCCTTTTTTGTAATTCACATTGCAGTCCTTAGCAGGGTTACTCCAGTCTAAACTCATTCAATGTCAGTGGGCTTGGAGTGACGTAAGACTGCCCAGGATTGCACTGACAGGCGCTTGTCTGCTGTTGTGGCACCAGCTCCCCTTCTTTCTCGGAAGAATCTATTGTGTGGGCCCTGAGCTGGATAGTCCAGGCAAGCCCGATCTCGTCAGATCTTGGAAACTAAGCAGGGCCGATCCTGTCAAGTATTTAAATGGGAGACCTCCAGAGAATACCAGGGCTGGGAGGCAGAGGCAGGCTACCAAGCAGTAGCTTGCCAGAGGTTGCCATGACTTTCAGGCGCACACACATGCACACACACATACAAAATGCAAAAATACCCACCCACACAAGTTTAGTGTGCAGCTTGGGTTCACATTTGACCACAGGCAGTTTGTGGAATTTTAGCTGTATGATCAAGGGATAGCGCCTTGTGGGACGTTTTTTCACGAACCATTTGTGGAAGATTCTCTGAAGTCGAGCATGACAGCAGAAATAGTTGGTCAGAATTTTCTTTGGAAGAAAAAGGCGGTGTTGTCCATGTTCCTTGACATTACTGCAGGGGAGAAAAGAAGCTGCTGTTTCTCCTCTCAGTACGGGAACACAATAAAGAGGGACAGCATTTTTTTTGAATCCCCATTAAAGTGGATCTGCCAGCAGGACGGATATATAGGAAAAGGATATATAGGAAAATGTGGATGAGAGCAAAATTGGCTAAGAAACTGAACCGTGAACAAAAAAAGTTCCCAGTTCAGACTCCACCTTTGTGAATGGGGGGCTTTGTTCAGAAGGGCCTTCTTATAAAGTGGTCAGAACTATGGTATAATAGATCAGCCTACGATGGTGCTTCTATAAAAGATAGTATTGTAGTAGATAATGGTGTTTATTACATGTAAAAAAAAAGTAAAGGTTCCCTTGCTCGAAAGCCAGACGAGTCCGACTCTAGTGTTGCAGTGCTCATCTCCGTTTCCAAGCCAAAGAGCCAGTGCTGTCCGAAGACGTTTCCGTGGTCATGTGGCCGGCATGACTAAACACCAAGGCGCACGGAACGCTGTTACCTTCCCACCGAAGTGGTCCCTATTTATCTACTTGCAATTTCTTGCTTTCGAACTGCTAGGTTGGCAGGAGCTGGAACTAGAGATGGGAGCTCACTCCATTATGCGGCACCCAGGTCTCGAACTGCTGAACTACCGACCTTCCACAGCCTGCAGTTCAGTGTCTTAACCACTTGAGCCACCGCAGCTCCTTTATTACATGTACCACCCCCTTATACTGTAGTTCAGCGTCTTCTGCCTTCTGTTCAGTATGGTATTTCAAACAATTCTTGGATCACATTGACAGTTTTGTCGTCATAATAAGAATACTTAATTAACTGCCATTAAGTTGACTTATGGCATTCCCTCATGGGGTTTTCAAGGCAAGAGATGAGGCAGAGGTGACTTGTTATTGCCTGCCTCTGCATAGGAACCCTGGACTTCCTTGGTGGTCTCCCATCCAACTACTAACCATGGCTGACCCTGCTTAGCTTCTAAGCTCGGACTAGTCAGGACTATTCAGGCTGCTACTTTGGTGCTTTAGATTTTTAGTTTTGTTTGCTTGCTCGCAGTGTTTCCCAGCTCTTCAGCCCAAGCCCCACTGGCACTGTTTGGGCTATTAAAAACCTTTGCTTTTTGATTGAACTGTTTTTATCATATTTTGTGATCTGCCTCGAATCTCGGTAAGAAAGACAGGCTATGAACGAAGTTGATGATAATCCTTGTGCTGAACATAATGAAAGGCAACTGTGTATGGTTCTCACTCCCTAGTAGTAACAAAGTTGTTTGGAATAGGTATTTATTATTGTCACCCACTTGGATTCTTGAGCACAGAGATGATGTGCCTGTTTTTTTCTAGGCTGGCTGCTGCTAACTCAGTTTCCGTGGATGATGCCGTCTGGTAGAAGCAGCATTAGATAGCATCTGCACAACCAGTTTTCTGTCCGTCTGATGCCTATGCTTATTTGCAAACAGTTTCTCTGAACTAACTGCCCAAGACAATTCCCAGTATAAATAAATAAATAAGCACAAACATAAAAACCATAAAAGTATCATAATAAACTAAACAGTGTAGTCAAAGTGGAAGCATATCACACATAAATACTAGCTAAAACAACTGATAAAAGCAACAGATTTTACCTAGTTCCACATAAAAACACCCTTTAGTTCACTGTGCAATGTCTTCCCAAGTTTAAACCCAGTGGAATTAGTGAGCTTCGACTAGGGTTACACTGTTAAGAGTCACAATATAATGACAAAATTGGGAGGGGGGGCACACCATTAATGGGCTAATTGTCCAATTAATTAGAAAGTGGCCTAAATACAAATAGCCTGGCATCAAAACCAGCCCTACTTGATGGTAAGTGGATGGATGAGTTAAGGGTATTCCACTGTCCCACTCTGTACTTGCTGTTATCTCCTTTCCTGTATGTATTGCAGTGAGTGTACATGCACAAGAGGCATTCTTCATGGGCAAACAAGTGCATACAGGGTGTCCAGCAGGATCAGACCATCTCGTCCAGCATCCAGTTTCACACAGTGGCCAACCAGGTGCCCTGCAGGGCCAACATAGAGGGCGTAATGGCCGAAGTCTCCGTGGCAGTGATCCTTAGAAGTCCCACCTCTCCTCCAGGGCTCTGAACCAATCCTTGTGATTTAGGCCTCATGCAAATCCAAGTGACTGTCAGCCAATCAGAGCCCATGGAACTTCACTGGGTAGGAGGGGTGGAGCCAGCCTCAGCTTAAGAAGGGTGAAGAAAAAACTGATTTCCTTCAGAAGGGGATTTCTTGGTTCTGGAAAGGAGCATCAGCTTATCCAGGCTTTGATTTGGCTATTTAGTCAGGGTTTGGGGGTTGGCTTAGGGAAGAAAGCTTATTTTTAGTGCTGGAAATAAGCATCCTGTTAAGGGCCCATCATTCCTAACTGGTGCATGTAGCTTCTGTGGAAAGGTGTTCTGTGTGAGAAAAAAGCAGCCTTGAACCTGCTGAGGTACCCTGCCCAGAGAAAGGAGAATCAAATCTCCCCTCAGGAGTTATTTACCTTTTTTGAGAGCCAGCTTTACTATGGCTGCGGTCACACGGAACAGAAGCCACACAAGTGAGACGGAAAACAGCCGGAGTTTCCGGGCGCGATCTCACCAGCACATCTGGGAAGCGTAGCACTCCCGTGGCACAACCGAGGCTTCCAGCCGAAACTGCGTGGCAAAAAACTAGTACCTCGGAGGTACTAGTTTCCGGAAACTGCGGGGCAAGGGCGGGCGTCTGATCGCATTTCCGGTGGCATCCGACGCCCGCCCATGTCCCCTTGCAAATAAGGTGGGTTTTTTTTGTCCACGTCTCTGTGGATGCGCACACGGAGCATGCGCATTAGTCATGTACACACAAAAACAAAACATTTTGCCGCGGCGCACGCTTCTTCGTTGCGCGCCGGCTTGTCCTGTGATCAGCACCTCTCCCTTGCCATGGAACCTCCACGGTACCTCCACAGGACCTCCACGGGAGGTCTGATCGAGTAACTGCGCAGTAGTTTGCCACAGGGCAAACAGCCACGCTTCTCCCCTGCAGTTTCCTGCCCGTGTGACCGGGGCCTTAATGTATCTAAGTTTGAGTTCAGTGGCACCTTAAGATGAACAAAGTTTAATTCTGGGTTATAAGCATTTGTGTGCATGCACAATTTTTCAGATACACTGAAACATACTTCCTCAGGCCTTACATATAAGAGTTATCCACACATCATATTTGCCTTATTAAATACTTTATTTTATGTTAAATAAACCTTTGTTGTTTATATCCGTTTTTATGTTGTTTCTCAAGTCAAAAGTCTAAGAAGCAGTGGTCTCTGTTTGCCTCACATATAAGTACAGTCTTAAACTACCAGGTCTGCAGATAAGAGACCTTTAGGGAACATATAGCTTACACGCTATCAATCTTTATTTTAAAAGGACTTGTGTCCTCCTTTTTATTTGATTGTGGGTGGTTGGGGTATAAAGAAGCTATAGGAGGGGCTAGAGTGGGGGACTGGATATTCTTCAGTCCAGAAGGCAGTTGCTTCAGAGCCTCCCCCTGTAGCCACCTTCTAAAGTTGCCTCATAGCACTGGTATTCAGAGGGATCTTCATCGTGGTCCCTGTGCAGTCCCACACTTGGGTTTTGGGCACGCCCACAAAACCGACCTCGGAGATCTGGAAGAGCTAGCCTCAGACAATTTTTTTTGGCGGGCTTTTCTCTTCCGCACTGGGGATCAGGCTGCCACTGTGCATGCCTGGAGCTGAGGAGAAACCCCACCTCTGCTCAGTTTCTTCTTTTACACCGCCACGTTCAGACCTCGTTGCGCTTCCCTCCTCTGGTTTACCTCAACTACCTCAGTTCTCTGTTTTCTTCTATGTCCTAACTATTTCGTTGTTCTGTCTTTTCTTTCTAAAAAAAAAGAGGATCTCTTCTTCATTCGTCTGTAGACTTTCACCTCTGTGACCCCCAGTTCCGGCACCAGGCTTCTCCCTTTCCTCCACGTCTGGGAGGCAATTACAATAGACACTTGGGTCCTCGCTATAATCCGCATGGGATACGCGATAGTGTTTCACCATCGGCCTCACGTCCCTCATTTCTGTCCCACCCCCCCAACCGCTTCCTGAAGACCGACGTTTCAGACCTGCTCGCCAAAGGGGCAATAGAACCTGTTCCTTGGTCGTTCCACCACTCCGGGTTCAACTCTCGATATTTCCTCGTCCCCAAACGTACAGGAGGAAAACATCCCATCATGGATCTCAGGGATCTGAACCGGTATATTTGCCACAAAAAATTCTGCATGATTACCCTGCAGTCCATCTTCCCGCTCCTACAGAAAGGCAACTCCAGGATGTCTACTTCCATGTTACTATCTGTTCAGCATTCCGCCAATACCTTCACTTCACCGTCGGGACCCGTCACTATCAATACAGGGTCCTCCCCTTCGGGCTTTTGACTGCCCCCAGGGTTTTTACCAAGTGTATGGCAGTGGTAGCGGCCACACTGAGACAACACGCCATTGTTGTCTTCCCATACATCGACGACTGGCTCTTGGTGGCTCCATCCCGAGAGGACCTTCTGCAAAGCATCACCTGCATGCTCTGGCTCCTCGCTGCCCTCGGTCTCTCCGTGAACCTTGCGAAGTCCCACCTTGAGCAACTCAGTCTCTGTCATTCATAGGAGCCGACATCGACACCACCAGACAGTGTGCCTTCCTGCCTCCGGACAAAGCTGCCACGCTTCAATCCCTGGTGGGGGACTGTCTTTCCCTGCAGCAAACGGCTTCAGTGTCTTTTGGGGCACATGGCGGCAACAACGTTCATGGTTCCCTACGCACGTCTGCGTATGCGCCCACTGCAATTGTGGTTTCTCCGCCATTTTTGTCTGAATGTCGATCCTCCTACGTTACGGCTTGTGGTCTCTCCTGTGATCCTGAGGTCCCTATGCTGGTGGGTCAACAGCGCCAACTTGTCCCTGGGAATGCCTTTTCACCTCCCACCTCCTACAGAGTTGCTCACGACAGATGCATCGTTGTGGGGTTGGGGAGCCCACTACTGTGAACTGATAGCACGAGGCGTGTGGTCCGATTCTGAGAAGACCTCCCACATCAATTGCCTCGAACTCACCATGGTCCATCGAGCGTTACAGTCTTTCCTGGCCAGTTTAAGGGACTGCCATGTCCAAGTGGCATCCGACAGCATTGCCACCATCTATTACATGAACAAGCAGGGTGGCACGGTCTCCATCAAACTTTGCAAGCGTGCTCTCTCCCTCTGGGCTTGGTGTCTCCAGCACAACATCCACTTGACAGCGGTGCACGTCCACAGGGCTTCCAACATCCAGGCCGATGCCCTCAGCAGGACTCGGTCCAGCGATCACAAATGGACTCTGAACCCAACGTACCTACAATGGGTGTTCAGCCTCTTCGGTTGTCCTGATGTGGACGCATTTGCAGCCAGGTGCAATGCACAATGCCCGTTTTTCTTCAGCCGGGGGGCTCCGGCCCAGGGTTCCAAAGGGGATGCTTTCCTCCACAAGTGGATAGGGAGACTGTTCTGTATGTTCCCTCCATTCCCTCTAATCCCCTGGACCCTCCAAAAGATCACCATAGATCGCACCTCCTGCATCCTGGTAACCCCATGGTGGCCTCGACAACCCTGGTTTGCACCACTTCTGCGGCTTTCTCGAGCCAAGTACTTCCGCTTCCCGCTAGTCCTCGACATTCTCTCCCAGGGCAACGGGAGGGTGCTTCACCACAATCCCTCCATCTTCCGCCTGACGGCCTGGAGGATCAGTCCTTAACATTTTCCCCACGGGTACAACATGCCATCCTGAATTCCCATAAACAGTCCACACAACGCTCGTATTGCTCCATGTGGACTCGTTTTTCCAGTTACACAACGACTCGTGACTTGGACCCTGCGTCTGCACCCCTTCCAGCGGTGCTATCCTACCTTCTCTCCCTCAACGATTTGGGGCTGTCTTATTCCTCGTTGAAAGTTAATCTCTCGGCCATTTCGGCTTTTCATGTTCCTGTTGATGGCGTTACTGTGTTTTCACACCGTTAGTCGAAATGGTTTTTGAAAGGCATTTTACAGCTGCATCTGCCAGTTAAGCCTCTCATTCCTGCCTGGAGCCTTTCCCTCATTCTCTCAATGTTAATGAGAAAGCCCTTCGAACCTTTGGGTACATCTTCCCTGCATCATTGCTCCTGGAAAATGGCTTTTTTAGTGGCTGTGATCTTGGGGCGCCGAGCCAGTGATACCTGTGCGTTCTGTTCGGATCCGCCCTACACCATCTTCCATAAAGAGAAAGTGGTTCTCAGATCGGACCTGATCTTCCTGCCCAAGGTCGTCTCCGCTTTCCACCTCTCTCAGCCATCTTCACTGCCAGCCTTCTTCCCAAATCCAGCTGATGATGGTCAGTGGGCCCTCCACACTCTAGACGCTTGTCGGGCCCTGTCCTTGGATAGGACACGCTCCTTCCGCCAGGATGTCCAGCTCTTTGTGGCTTATGGAGCCCCGCGTAAGGGCTGTCAGATCACCTCCCAATGCCTTGCTAAATGGATCGTGGCCACGATCCAGCTCTGCTACGAACTTGCACATCAGCCCTTACCCAAGATGGTCCGGGCCCGTTCTACGAGAGCTATGGCTACGTCTGCAGCCTTCCTGCATGGTGTCTCCTTGGAGGATATCTGCGCTGCGGCGACATGGTCGACTCCATCCACCTTTGTCATGCATTATGCACTTGATGTTCGTGCTCGTAGAGATGTGTCCTTTAGCCGCTCGGTCCTCCAATCCATCTTCCATTGAACCATCCTTCATGGGATTCCAGGTAGCTCTCTACGCGAGTGCCTTCGCCCGTTTGCCTTACCTGTCCCATATTTGGGTGGTGACCATTGCTGTTGGCTTCCTGCCAGTGCCCACTTCCGTGCGTGAATTAGCTGGTTAATCACCCAAGTGTGGGACTGCACAGGGACCACAAAAATGAAGATAAACAGGTTGCTTACCTGTAACTGATGATCTTTGGCACCTGTGCAGTCCCACACGCCCGCCCAGCCTTCCCCGCTGCTGGCTTTTCCATCTTGTCTTCATTTGCATGGCCTTGTCAGTGGCGGCTGGAAGAAACTGAGCGCAGGCGGGGTTTCTCCTCAGCTCCAGGCATGCGCAGTGGCAGCCTGCTCCCCAGAGCGGAGGAGAAAAGCCCGCCAAATTTTTTTGTCTGAGGCTAGCTCTTCCAGATCTCTGAGGTCGGCTTTGTGGGCGTGCCCAAAACCCAAGTGTGTGACTGCACAGGTGACCACTCGAAGATCATCCGTTACAGGTAAGCAACCTGTTTTTATTGTCTCTGAATGTGGAGGTTCCCTTTAATCATCATAGCTAGTAGTTATTGGTGATCCTCTTCTACATGAATCTTTCATCTGCTTTTAAAGCTGTCTGTGCTTCTGGTGGTTATGTCCACCAGCAGTGAATTCCACAATTTAATTACTCATTTGGGAAAAAAGCCTATTTCCTATTTTCTTTCTTGAGTCTGTTGCTCATGAACTTCATCAAGCACCCCGTGGTTCAACTTTATGAGAGACTGTTTTTGTTTGCAGTCCCTCTGCTAATAATCCCTAGAATTAATGTTCATTTTCACTATTGCTGTGCACTGAGTCGACATGTTCATTAAGCTGTCCAGTACAACCCCAAGATCTCTTTTCTGCTCAGTCTCAGTCGTTGCAGACCCTCATCAACACACATTTAAAGTCAGGAGCCCCCCCCCCCTTTACAGAAGATAAATAACCACACATAAATACATAAAAAAGAGAACAACAGCTCTGTTTTGTACAACAAACAAAATCAGAACTTGCCTAGTGAAATTAAATTGAAATCAATTATTCATGACACAGTGCCCCTGAAATAAAAGTATTCAGTTTTTGCAATCACATAATCCCAAGTTCTTGTAACACTTTCAGTCTCCTGAGATCTTTGCAATAAAGTTAATTTTAATAACTTAAACAAGTTAGGTTTCCCCCCGCATAAGATTTTCCCACACTGTATAGTGTGTGTGTGTGTGGGGGGGAGGCAGCATGATATAGCCTGATCTTGTCAGATCACAGAAGCTAAGCAGGATTGATAACTTGGAAGGGAGACTACCAAGGCAAAGAGGAAGGCACTAGCAAACCACCTCTGCTTCTCACTTGCCTTGACAGCCCCTTGCTGGGGTCGCCATATATGACTGTGACTTGATGGCCCTCACGTGCATACTTCTTGTATCCCTTCTTCTACATGGTTCAGTTTTCCTTTAAGAATATGAACATTCAACCTTTCCTGTTGATGGAAAGTTTGCAGAGCTGGGTTTTGAACAACCCAGCTGCAGGTGAGAAGATTGCACTTGAGTTTTCTCACTGATGGGTTTTAGATGAGTTTTGTTTTGTACTTTCTCCAAAGCCTTTCAACCTGGAAACTATAATGGGAGAAAGTGGACTGGTCCTTGCGGAAATTTCATTCCTTTTGATTGCAATCTCGTTTCCAGGCCTCTTGACGACGCTTCAGATATTTGATCGAGAAAAGCAGCGAGAATATCCTATCACCGTGACAGCCACAGACCAGGCCGCAGAACCTCTCATTGGGATTTGCCAGATCAACGTTGTCATCGTGGACGTGAACGATAACAGCCCCCGGTTTGAAAACACCCACTATGAATGTAATTGCGAATCATTGGATAACGTTTCAGTTCCCTGAGTGTGAGCTTACCTGATGTCTATGTTTTTTTTGTATGACTGTTTCTGTTCAGTTTTTTTTTTAAGTTGCTACCCCAACAGCTGATTAAAATAATATGTAAAGTGGTGTTGTGGGGAGGGTGGTGGGGAGAAGCCATGCTGCGAAAGACTGGTTCACACGTGCAGATTGGTTGACTCCAGCATTTGTGGTATGTGTAAATGATCCTCCGCAGATCATCAGGTGCATTGTTGTGTAGCTTGGTGTAGGCAAGGCGACAACAGAAGGCAGGATTCTTAACTCGAGGATGTTGTTGTTCTTTCCTTCTTGCAGCTCCTGCTCTGCTTTCTCCTTCATCTTTCTTTCCACTTCCTACTCTTCCCCTTTTCTTTTCAGTATCCATAATATCGTATCCTTGAATGGTCTGGTTTGCCCATCAGCAGACCTATGGTGTCTCAAATGAGACAAAGATCTAAACATTGACTGTGAAACAACCTTTTTTTTTTTTTTGGCTGTCAAGTCACAGCTGACGTATGGTGACTCCCACAAGGGTTTTCAAGGCAATAAATATCCAGAGGTGGTTTGTCATTGCCTGTCTCTGCATAGCAACCCTGGACTTCCTTGGGGGTCTCCCATCCAGATCCTGCTTCGCTTCTAAGATCTGATGAGATCAGGCTAGCTTGGGCCAGCCAGGTCAGGGCGAAATGAATGACATCTGTTAAATCTCAGCATCTGAGATTGTCGGTTGATCACCCCCCTCTCTGATCGGCTTTCCCTTTTCCCTTTAAAAGAGGCTTGATATGCCGAAATTAGCTGGCTACGTTTTTGATGACAATTTTCAGCTGATAATTGTTCTGGCTCAAACGGCTATTAAAGGAATGGTTTGAAACTTAAGAAGCCTTTGAATTACAAACTGATGACTGATGTGATGATTTATGTGATTTAAATTTTTTTTTTTTTAAAAAAAGCCTAATTATCAGCTTTGTGATCTCAGGGCTAAGAGCTGACTTCAATCCCCCCCCCCCCATCAGCTAAATCAATAGATCATCACAGGGTTGTCTCCTTCAATGGCAAAAAAGCAAAACAAAACTGTTTATGTTTAGGGTCGCCCTACTTCAGACAAGGCCTGCAGATGTTCCAGAATTACAACCGGTCTCCAGACTACACAGATCAGTTCCCCTGGAGCAAATTTGGTGTAGTGGTTAAGTGCGCGGACTCTAATCTGGGAGAACTGGATTTGATTCCCCACTCCTCCACTTGCACCTAGCTGGATGACCTTGGGCAAGCCATAGTCCTGATAAGAGCTGTCCTTGAAAGAGCAGTTTCTGTCAAGAGCTCTCTCAGCCCCACCCACCTCACAGGGTGTCTGTTGTGGGGAGGGGAAGGGAAAAGAGTTTGTAAGCTGCTCTGAGAC